TTTGAAAAAGTTTTGGAGTTCAAAATTCAACAAGTTCTCTTTATTTACCCATTCCTCCGTCGGCTGAAACTTGGAAAAACGTTACAAAGAAGGTGTGTCAATTTTTTTGTAGCTTAAGCTGACAGTTTAAGCAAGAATAATACGTATTTTGCAAAGCATCTTTTTGCAAAACAAGAACTGATGCGCGTGGAAGACGTCGTGTACAAGACTTTGCGACTGATAAGAATTTCTCTTTTAATCAGTGCCATAACAAAGAGTTTTGCGTTTTTTTCTCGGGAAAGTTATTTTACGGGTTTGCATAACTGTCTCGAATTCTCCCAACCCCTGGAGTGTTTATATCAGGCTATGCAAACACGGAAAACTTTTTCTATTGCTTAAATGCTATGCTAAAAATTGCTTCTACATGATATGGTTTCCTTCCTCAGAAATCAATTTGCTAAAACAAGACTTGATACATAAAATTAAGATAACGTTTACTTGTACGTTACAACAGAACTATAAAACCACTTCTCGCCCTAATCCAAAGAGCTATCTCAAAACTTCACAATTTGCACTTTCTGAACAAAAGAAAGCTAAAAGAGCGCATGCCAGGAGCAGAATAGCGCTGGCCAGTGGTACTCTGGCTCCATTGCACAGCTTACCCTCGCAGCAGTTGACTTTACACTTTTTGATTGTAGCTCCTTTTGGAGCAAATGCCTTGCAGAGCTCCTCGTTGTCACAGGCTGATTTTGCACTACATTTTCTGGCATAACCTTGTACTGACATCGCCAGGTCTCCCGATGTTGAATGGTAATGAACATTGGCGCAAGTTTCGTTACCAGAATCACAGGCCACCACTTTCTGGATAGAGGCACAGTTATCGCAACTCTTAGTTGACACACAGTGGTAGCACTGAAGACCGTGCTCTGTGATAAGAAAAAGAGTAAAACCATTGTTCCTCCTGTGGTCGTTATATGAGTCGTCAAGTAGCTTTCGTTCCTGATTTAGCCCATTCCGCCTTCGGCCTCATGGGCTATTGACTCAGAGCCAATTCGGGTTCGAGGAAAAATTGTTAAATATTCACTGCGCTAGGCGGTGAATATAAAGAAAAACAAACTCGCTGTCGTAAACTGGGTGTTCTGCTAAAGTTTCAGAGTAAGAACTTTTTGAAAATACAAGAATATCCTGGTGTTGATGATTCTGAAGGTAAGAAAAGACTTCACGGTGATTGAACAGTGTGGTTTACTGTAGCTGACGTTATATACGCTCGAAGCAATGTTTACCGCTACACAGCAAAATTACCGAGGCTGCTTTGTCACTGTTTTGTGAACTCGGGATTTCCTCGCAAGACCAATTTTGCCTATAAATAGAAGTTAATTTATGGAGAGAAAAAGGAAGGCATATATTTTCGAAAATTGTACGTGGCAGCTAGTTAAGAAGACAAAGAACACTGTGGATAAACAACACTCACCTCGATCGTGGCCGATGTTACAGCATTTGCAAGAAGCGACAAAAAAAAACAAACAAACAAACAAACAAACAAACAAAAACTTTCTCATTTACGTTGAGTTGAGGGAGGCAAATAAAGCCCTACGTTTCTTCTCAGAAGGAATGGCAATTTGAACTTTCGACATTTTCTTTTAAACCATTGATGCCGAAGCTTACAAAAAGATTAAAACTATGATTTGCCATGCTTAAAGGTCCACCTGTAAAGATGTAACTTTTGCGCATCTACTGTTTACGGCTGCATGATCACTCATGAATTCACCCGTCAATCAAACTAATGGTTTTTTTTAATGGGTTCTTTTCCGATTCTGCTGAGATCACTTCGTGTGTATGTAATGAATCAATTTCCACTTAAGACTCAGTTAATACTGCTGAAAATTAACTTCGAATTCGGCGAATAATTGTTAATTAGCCAATTAGGAGTCCTTATTCGTTATGCAGGGGCGTGTAGAAATCCTAAAGGGGTAGGGGAGGGTGGTAGAGGACAGAGTAGCAGGCCATGTTAACGCTGAATAAACAATTACAGCCGTTCCATTTTGATTGAAAATGTTCTTGCGTTAAATGAGTAAAGTTAGCAGCGAGAGTTATCACTGATTTACGTGGTGCTTACTTTAAGGATGTTTTGCCAATAATTATAAACGGCAGGTGTGAGATTAGTTTGTGTACAGTTTGTATTCCAAGACTTTTGTTTGAAAACTAAAGCTACCCGCATATTATGCAAAATAATTTGCACCTTTATTTAAATTTCTGCTCAAATATTTTGTTGAGTCAGTTTTTTAATGAGTAAGACATCGATTGGTGCAACCGGTCAAGAGTGAACAGAAACTCTTGTTTTTTGATCTTGTCCTACATAGAAACACTGTTTTGGAGCTACATTAGTTGCATTTCAGCCTGCTTTTAAAATTCGCGTCCAAATTGTGCTGCCTAAGTTGCCACTGAATACGACGGTTTCTCTATGAAAAAGGTGCAAAAGACGGCAGGATGGTAAATGATGGAGGAACGTCTCCCGCTGTGGGAAGCTAGTGGACACGGGATAATGGTGGGCGAAATCATTGCAAGCATGGTTGATATAAAGAAGAACAATAGAGCCAATCCCGTCCCGTCAAGTTTAGTCCCGTCCCAGAATGGAAGGCGCTAAATGACATCTATCGATGTCAGTTTTATCGCCCAGCAGTTTTGAGGGAAAACATAGCAGGTACGAGGTTATTGGGGATGTCTTTGAGGGCAACTAAAGCGTTTGAGGGGAATATGTGTTGGTACATTTTCGTTCCCATACAATACATAAATACTAAAAGCATCGGTGCCCAGTGGTCATGAATGTTAGTCTTGCGGGCTCATAAACCTGTGAGTACTCGTCAGTACCTTCGTTCTAAAAATATGGTTTAAGTATCTGTTTAAAATGTAGTTCTAATACAAAATATGTTTCAAATAGCGGGTGAAAATCTGTTAAATTATAGAAATAGTGTTCAAATAGATCTCAAATACGTTTTAAGCTCCTATGGGGAACAGGGAGATTGCTTTTCTCGAGATTCTCAGCGTATCACTCAGAAATGACCACAAACTCAGATAAAGTTTAAAAGCTCTTAATTTATTTTAAAGAATGACATCAAATATATAGAAACTGACAAAAGCTGGACATTCGTTTATGAAATAGGCCACTGTCGATACATCCATTGACGTCATGTCATGAGAACACGAGGAAGAAGACAGATGACTTTCGTTTCTTCTGGTTTTCTTGGCCTGGCTATGAATTTGGATAATGGCACGATTTATCAAAGTGACCCCATTCATACCGAAGCCCCTACAATATTTTATCTTACTCCTGCCATTCAAAAATTTATTGTTATCATTATAAAATGAAGCAATACTGTTATTTAAACATGCAATTTGTCGGAAATTGAATGTTATTTTTTCCGAACTGCCCTGATAATCCGAATCTTCACTTTTCATACCCAGACGTGGGTTTCCCAAGTGATCTGCTAATGACACTACTACTTTCTTGCGTTTTTAGATTTGATAAATCACTATAATTATTATTCAACACCCGCAAAGGTCTATACAATAATTAAGCTCTTTTTCTTCTACTGCCGCAATATTGTTATGGTGAACCGAAGTGCCTTTTACCACCTTATTCCTAATGTCACCTTTTTGATTCAATAGTTCGTTTCTCCAACATGACATGACATGTTTATAGCGAGTGGTATTGTTGTAATCTAACCTAGACGATTGAAACGTTTGTAACATTGAAATGTAGCCACGGAATTATGTGGTAGGTTATGTGGCGTCTGAGGAAATCTGAAGGCTATGATCAGTCACACTATGTCGGAAAGTCTTTGCACCGACACGAAAATAATACCGGATTTTGCTTTTGTCAGTTCATACAGAAGAACGGTGATTTTCCGGCTATTTCTGTTAAGGAGCGAAACCCTCGCTGCGCCACCGCCGATCTTTAAAAGTGGATCGTCACATATCGCCGGGATAGGTTTCTGCCACATTTCGTCGCAGTATGAACAGGTTTTCAAGTAAAATGAGTAGGGGGCGAGCGTGGGCTGGGAGCCAGTGATATGAAAGTATATTTTCAGGAGAGAAGACTGGGATTTAGTTCACCAAACTGACCTCTCGGCCAACCGACCGCTCTGGTGCGATGTTCGATGTGTGTGGACGACTTGTTCCAGTTCTATACGGTTGTCGTTCATACTACCGGATACATTTTCATGTCGACACGAAACTCTATTTCCGGTATAGTGTGGACAGACTAAAAAAGTAAAAGAAGCAATCCAAACTACTAACAATTTAATAGTCATTTGTAGAGAATGAACCGATTTTAGTCCCTACAATTGTCATATTACCAGTGCTATTCAGTATTTTCTCGATGTCTTTCAAATGAAATTAAATATTGTTAGGTATCTTATTGTAATAACCCATTAAACAGTTGCGCTCGTCATCTGATGGGGTTGTTAGTCTCTCTTAGACGTAGACATTGTAGTTTTTGGTTTCACTTTGGCTGTGCAGGACAAAAAGCCAATATTTTAAACCATAAACGTATCACCAGAAACTCATAAGGGGTTGAACAACCCCTTATGAGTTTCTGGTATCACTTAACCCCCTGCAAACGGACGAAACTTTGTTGGCCAACAACTCGCAACATTGTTCAACATTGTTGGAAGCTGTTGCGTCCGTTTGTGCGTAGCTTTAGGGTTGTGCGTAAAGAAATATCTGCTATGAAAAGACGTTGTCTTCATGAGTTCGAGAGTGTTCTACTTTGGCTGTCATTTCTGATCGTAACTGAGGAGACTGGTCATGAATACCGGCAAACAGTGAGGATGAAAACAACCATGTTCAGTTTATGGGTATAGTTTCTTGGTGTTGCGGACGGTGCAACTGCAATTATTACTCTACTTATCCGTCGAGCATTCCCCTATGCTTTCATATTGGAGCCCCCACCTTCCCCCCGAGACCCCAGTAACAATCTAAAGAAAAAAAAAGTGCTTTAAACCATACAGACCCTATAGAAATTACAGCTTGTGGGCGGTATCAAGAGTACTAATGTTACTGGTGTTAGTAGCGGATGCCTCACGGTAACATGGCTGGTTCTGATCCAGTAGTCTGAAATAATAGTAAGGGGTATCTTCTGTCATCATCTCTTCTAGTATCGGGATTAGTTGAATGAATGAGGGTCGTTCATTTGGATCCTCCTTCCAGCAGTCCATCATCAATTTGTATCTGTTGAGAAAGGAAGCCGTAGTTTAAAATACCACTACACAAAGATATGTCTCTATTTACTTTGAATATCGAAGACACTTAATATGTTCTATAGGCTCTTTTTAGAATGGTGCAACGTAAAGGAAAGAGGCGAGCTGCAGTTTCCACTCCTTTGAAAAGGCTGACAATTTTAGAAAAAAAAAAAACTGTTTTAAGGACTATGTAAGTATTTCTTCATCGTGTCCTCTTCTCGGACGTCTTTTATTATTTCTATTCTGACTTACATTTCATCGCTGCACGTGTTAGGTTTCTCCATCCGATATCCAGAGTTAAGCAAACTGCATAGCCTCAAAGGGGTTATCCCAGGGTATGGAGTACCCCCTAAAATAACAAAATAAAGATCAATGCTGTCTTATCAAAGATTATCAGGCTTTTCTAATTTTTCATTTTGAAATCGCTGGCGATCCCTGCAATCTGATTGCTCTCAGCAGAGTGATTTATTTACGAATCACACAAACACATCTGTTAATTATAAATCGAGTTATTTATGTTCTAAACCACGTCGCACCGACACACCTTGCTTTATATCGCATCATTTCTGTTTCGAAAACAAAATTAGCTGTAAAAGCCCTTTTGTTTCCGTTTTTCAGCAGGCTATTGGATCTGCCCACAGGTAAATCCTTCCCTATGGTTCTCGATCTAAGGCACGCCTCTTGACCGCTAATTAAGAGCTGCCATCCTTCACTCTAGCCAGTATTCCCGATGGAAGTCTCCCAGGTGGTCTCTTTCCTGGTATTCCTCCCTCAATAACTAATGGGACATGATCACCATGTCGCAGGGTATGACCAAGCCAGCTTCTCTGTCTTCTGTTAATAACAGATATGATGGCCCTCTCCTCACCGACACGCCTCGGTACTTCTTCGTTACAGATTTTGTCAGACCAAGTTATATTTAAAACCTTTCTCCAAAGCCACATCCCACAGCTCTCCAGCCTTCGCACGTCCTCTTTCTTTAAGGTCTATCATTCGACTCCATTCAGAAGAGTACCCCAGATGACAGTCTTTATAATTCTCTTCTTCAGGCAAAGGCTAGCGCGCTGAAGGCTTTTGTCAGCAGTTCTTTTTTCTTAGTAAACGCGTTTTTGGGCTATTCTAGACCTAATTTATTTTTCACAGGATCCATTCTGTGTAATAAGGCTCCCAAGGTAGTTAAGGTGAGACGATTCTTGACTTAATTGATTACCCTCAAGAAAGATCGTAAATTCCTCACCGGGCCTCTTACTGATTTTCTTCGCCTTAGTCTTCTTAACATTGATCTTCATATCATATTCCCCCGCGCTTTCCAGCATTTTACCCGTCATAAGTTGCAGACCTTTAACTGAAGTGGCTAAGGTTGCTTGATCATCAGCAAAGCGCACTGTCTTAATGAGATGACCTGCCACTCGAATAACTTCATTCACATCACTTAAAGCATCTCTTAGCATGGCTTCAGAAACGAGTATGGGGGATAATTATAACGAGCTAACTTATCTAGTGCCACGGCCAATCACTGCTGGTACAGATTGAATTCTGCCATTTCAAAATGGCTGTAATAAAGTGATAATTTCACTTCGTGTCGTGCAATTTTAGTCTTAAGTCATACTTCTGATCTCAAATCGAACTCGCGCGTGAAATAGCGCGTATGATTTCAGACCAAATTGCTCTCCACTCAGTTCAATGACCATTGTGTATTATCAATTTACCAATCTCCAGGAGGGATTAAAATAACTTAATTTATTATATAGACACGAGTGTTTTACTGGAAAATATACCACTCGTAAAATTCATAAAAGCTACATCCGGGACACGAGTGGTTTGTTTTCCATAATCTCACACGTGAGTTTATCGATGACGTAATTTCGGTCATTTCCCGCTATTATTTTATCGATGTCTTTTTGTCTATATAATGAAAATAACATTACACGGCGGCTTGAAGATATGAATTTTATTTTATCGTGGAAAAAACGACATTTTACTCACTCGCTGCGCTCGTTCGTAAAATATTGTTTTGGCACTCGAAAATAAAATTCATATCTTCGCGCTACCGTGTAATATCTTCTATGTACAAGTTTAGCATTACTGAGTATTCATTTCGCCAAGTGACACGTGATATCAGGTCAAGTTGTGGTTAAGGGTATGACTTATAGGCTGGATTATTATGAGCCTGCGCTCCTCCCCGGTAAAGACGGCTGGGAGAGCGGCGGAAGTTAGCCTATTACTTTTTGTAGTTGTTTAGCAATCACGAAGGTATGCAAGAATGGCTTCTTTTATAAAACGGTTCGATTCTCCCGTGACTGCTATCCTAAAACTGAACAGTCAGCTTTTCCCTAACTACTGTCATTGGGGATTACTCTCAATTCCCTCGGGTATAGGAAAATGACTAGAGTATTATTCTACCAGCATCAGTATAAAAAGATTTATAAAAGTAGCTTACCCATGGTGGCTAGTTCCCACAAAACAACTCCAAAAGACCACCTGGAGTAAAAGGAAGCAGATAAAGAACTAGCAAGAATTAACTTCATAGAAATATCAATTTTGTTTATCAAAATATCAATTTATGTTTTCTGTTTATCTCGCCCCATGGATGGTAATCCAGAAAATTTTTGTTTGGAGTCATGGACTTTGGGATCCGGAATCCTGCTAACTATGAAATTCTGGAATCTGGGCCTTTTGAAAGCTGGAATACACTGAGTTGGAATTCGGAATCTAATATCTGGAGTGCGGGATGTGGAGCGTGGAATCTAGGATCCAAAATCGTTTCAGATTAACCTCATCGGCTCAAAGTTTCTGTTTATATATCTTATTTTCAAGTTTAACACCTGGAACAGGCTAATGTTTTCCAAACACTTGAGTATTTCTTTAGATAGAGTGATAACCGCTACTGTAGACAGTGTCATGATCAAAATTGTGCTCTTTTTTTTTTTTTTTTTAGACTGTTCTAAACAGTACATTGCAAGGTCTATGTTATCTAAAACCTCAACTTCACACTGTATCACAAGAAGCCTAAGCTTGGCATCACTGTGACCTCGTTAACATATACTTACACGTCAGTCTTGAAAGTAAAAATGCCGCTTTCCAACGCCTCAGGTGCCATCCATTTCATTTGTAGCTTGTGTACGCTCGTAACTTCGTATACTTCACTCTCATTTGTGTGGCGTAACAAACCAAAATCAGCAATCTTCACCGCCTTGTCCTCACCAAGTAGGATATTACGGGCTGCCAGGTCACGATGAATGAATCCTTTGCTGGCCAAGTATTCCTGGCAGAGAAATAACGAAATTATTTCTCAAACAATTTTTAGTTACCAGATACCTTTAGATCAACAAAAAATTTCCAATATAAAATCAAAATGGAAGCTCGATTTTACGATACGGCAGGGGGATAGCAGTTTAATCGGGATATCGTTGCCACTAGCGCCCCTTTTTCCTAGATCACGCTTTCATATTTTTGCCGGTGCCTTACGCTTTTTTGTCTTATTTTTGCCGGTGCCACCCCTACTATCGAGAGCCTGGAACAGGCTACTGCAAGCTGTGCCTGGCAAACGGTCCGGAAAGCGGGAGGAAGTGATCGTCGGTCTATTCATGAAGAATGGAGGAAGGATTTCCGTCACAGCTGTTGGAAAACAAGAAACAAATTAAGGAATTGGCCAAGAAATCCCCGCGACGTATACTTTTCAGCATAAAAAGCCGTTGAACAAGCTAGGTGAACTACAGTCGACTCCAGCTCGAACCCTCGCTAACTCGAACCTTGTACTAACTCGAACCAGAATCGATTTCCCCTGGATTTCCTTTACTGTAATTTACCGTCGGTAACTCGAACCCTCGATAACTCGAAACTTCCGCTAACTCGAAGTAATTTTTGTTTCCCTTTAGATCACAATTTTACCCTCGATAACTCGAAGGGGTGAATAATGGCTGAAAAATAAGGTTTTTAAGTTTTTCAACCGCGAAAGAAAGCCCATTGACACCGGTTGACACTTAATTAAATGCTGTTTTTCAGGGAGACTTGGGGTGAGAGGAATCAAGCCCTCCTTGGACTGCCACGCCCGAAAAAGGAAAAAAAAAACCTCTTGGTTCTTACTATACTGCTGATTTCTATTTCGAAGTCACCCAAAACGGCATACCTCAGTGAACATTATTCATTTAGAGATTAGATTTTTTTCGTTAAAAAAAAGGTTCATTCATACCAATGAATAAACAGCAATTATTGGATGAGGCAGAGTTATGCGGATCACCGGGAGAGTGTTATTTGTTAAACCCAAAAACCAAATATACAGCTGAGCCACCAGATATATCAATTGAGCTTACAACAGTTAGCAAATACCATCATGGTGGCCGTTTACAAAAAGCAATCCCTTAGCTTCAGCCATCAGTTCCACTTGCAGACCGTTTATTGCGCTTTCCAAGATTCCGATTACGGGAGTATTTATCTAGAAAGTCCTTGCTGCTCAGTCTTCCAGTCCCGAAAACACATTTAACCATTGCTTTTTCTTCCCTCTACTTCCCTTCTTTTCTCAGGGGCGTAGCCAGCCCATAGCCCTGTAGGCCCGGGCCTTCAAATTTTTGGTTTGATCACTCTACCGCTTGTAATAAATTATGCGTTGTTGGAGTGAGCTGAAAAAACACAAGAGCTCAAAGTGTTGGTGAGGTCAGTGCGTACTGGTCATGCGTACAATTTTCAGGATATGTGGAAGTGAAAGTCATCCAGGCCTACAACTAGCCAAAAAGCTGGCTACGTCCCTGAATGTCAGGCTTGTACGATTCAAATTAAATAACTGATAGCTTAGCCTTATTCAGGTCATATGACTGTATTCATTAGACACCTTTTCGAAAATACGAACAGACCTGATTTTTCATTAGGTACCTTCACGACGGCTCCATGTGATTTTTAGGCTTCTCGGGCTATAAAAAAAATCTTTTTTGACCTTTTTTTAAAATCAAACGGCTCAGTTTTATGTGTGCTATGTTCCACGAAAAATTCCGCAAGATAGTAGTTAGCCCTATAATGGCCTGTTATAATTAACGCAGCAATTTGAATGCTTGAAAAATCTGCCGTCTCTTGACCGGATAGCATAATACTTGCAGACACAGAAAAACTAGTAGTAAAGTATTTTAAATACGGGGAGGAGACAGTATTTTGTGATTTGCAAATGATGACTAAATGGCTAAAGGCATTCTTGGGTCGAAAAAGTTCTTACCATCCCCTTAGCAATCTGCCACGCATAACATAGAACTTCTTTCCCAGAAATGTCTTCTTCATCATCATCTTCCTTGCCCTCACAGCTGCCTTCTTCTTTCTCGATGGTGATCTTTTCTTCGACGTTTCTTAAAGGCTCAGCGGAAGTGAGCGTTTTCTCTTTGGAGAAATGGGCAATACTGATCGAAGGTAACACCATCACCGACGTAACCGGTCCCTTTCGCTCTTTATTTTGTAGCAATGACGCTTTGACATCGTCACTCTCTTCTTCCTCCTTGTCATCTTCGTCTTCCAGGCTTGAGCAGAGAGGTTCCATCTCAGATCGAGGAGCACCGTTGATTAGAATTCCTCTTTCAACGTCGTCCAGGTCGATTTTAATTTTCTTCGTCCCGCTGGAACGATAACCACCGTCTTTTCCACTTCCTTCATTATTTCTTTCCCTGTTCTCCTCTTTCAGGTTTTCATCCAGGACATCTCTTGTTTGCAGGTTCCTGGACACCAATTTCGGCCTCTCAGGAACAGGAAGCTTAAGCCTTTCAACGACATCACTTTGCCGACTCTTTCTCATTGTAAGCTGCAAAAAAATATTGAAATGAATTCCGTCTGATCATGGAACGGTTTTGTCAGCAGAAACAATTTCAACACTATCAGTTGGTTAGCCGAAATATTTTTACCCATTTATAGGAAATCCATGTGAATTGAAAGATTACTTAACCGACGTTAAACTGAAAATCTAGACGAGAATACCGTATGGGCCAACTTTCTTTAAATCGTCCTCGGAAAACTCAAATGGATTAAACTGCAATAGAAACAAAGCTTTTCTTCTGCTTTGTTATAATTTTCTATGACATTTTAAGATACACAGTCCCAATGACGCGACGTGTGCTTCTTGATATTTGGTTTGACCTAATGTCACTTGTGACGTCATATCTCGTACAGGGCTTTCGGGACGCGTAATGTGTGTGTAATTATCATATTATCCACTCCCCTCAGGGCTTTTCAGGTATAATTTACAACAATGTTTGGGGGACTTTGTCAGACTGCTTGAGGTGCAGTTTACAAGTAATGAAGGAATGAGTAATGATGCCCCCATACATGAGTGTGAAAGTTAGATAAACCTCTACACCGGGCACTACGTGCCCTACTCTTTACGAAGAGTGTGTGGGCTCTTTAACGTCGCACAGATTTATTACATGTGCAAGGGCTTGTGAGACGGGGCCTACGGTTTATCGTTCTTATCCGAGAAGGCTAGAAAGTCAAACCGTTTGCAGATGTTATCCAAAAGGCAGCACTTTATCCGCAGTTATTTAAAGACCCTGAGTTTTGCTCCGGCCGGGGTTTGAACCTACGGCCTCCCGCTCAGCAGACCGGCGCTTACCCCATTGAGCTAAACGGGCGGCGGTTTTGAAACTCTGGACGGACAATCATTATCGCCACCAAAATATTTTGAAGGGTCTTTTTTAAAAAGAAACTTTTCTACTACGTCGGACGGAGGGTGAAAAGCAAAACTCTGGTGTTATCGGTTGATTTGAATAACTCATCTTGTCACCATTGAAAGACCGTGGATCGAAAAGCTGACGGGCATTTTGAGTGGAAGCCCTTTGTCAGCTTGAATCAAGGACGGTTTATCAAATGGCGGACCTCAACTATTGGTGAATACATGGGAAAATGAGAAAAGAAATAAGTAAATTACTAGGATGAAAAACGTTCGTTGAAGTAAACTATTCTTGTCTTGTTACCATGTTCAGACAATAGAGTAGCTCCACCATTAGTAATCCCGTGATTCATTCTGACCAGAAAAGGTTAACGCCCTCCTGGGGGGAGGGGGGAACGCTAAAAAATTTCGAAAAGTTGAGACAAGCGAAAACCAATATGATATCCTATTGAAGACCCAAAAAAGGAAAATGAGGCCCAGTTCAAGGGAAAAACAAAACCTAAGAGTTAATAGAAACAGATCGCGCTCCTCTAGGGTAAAGTTCAGTCTTAACAGATCTGTGATTTGTTTCTCGTGTGTTGGGCATTAACGCACGTGAATTTTACCTGATAGAATAACGGTACCCTATCTAAGGATCACATCGGCAACACTGCGCCAATAAGGGCAACAAGGATACCATAATTAAGGACGGAGATCCTCATCCTATCGGGAGGGAGTACCCCCTGGGGGAAACGCTCAAAACGTCAAGGTTTTTTTTTTTCTTTTCTGACCAACTACCCCTCCCCTAAGACAACATTAACACTACCTTCTCACTTAGGGCAAAATATGGCTTGGGGGAGGGATAGGTGGGCAGTTTCCCGGAAACCTTAACTGATCCTAACGGCGCAAGCTTGACTTTTTTAACTCAGTGTTGAACACAAATTTTTGTGTATTTACCAATCTTTGTTTTCCGAATACATGAATAGCATCTAAACAGTCTGGCTGTATAAACCGCGTTTGGAAAAATACGAATATCCGGTTGCATTGATATTTACATTTTTAAGTGCACCTCTGTCTTTGAGAACTTAAATTAAAGGCAACATGTACAAATTCTCACATCAAGTTGTTTACTAATAATAATAATAATAATAATAATAACTTTATTTCTATAGCGCTCTTATCCTATGTTCAAGGCGCTTTACAGTCATGTAAACAACATTAATGATAAATATTTACAAATTTACAAACATATCCTATTATATTTACAATGAGTAAAAAGGAAAAAATTAAAACTAAAGCAACTATTAAACTATTTTATTCATAATGATTGAAAAAGGGAAAAATTAAAACTAACGCAATATATACAAATCTATAGAAACAATGATCTGTTATTACTGAATTTAGTAAACAAGTACGTCTTAAGTGATCTTTTAAAACTCGAGATGGTGTTGGACTTCCGAATAGGGTATTAAGTTCCATTCTCTTATTATTTTTAATGAAGGAGATGGTGTTTGGACGTGTGATGAGATAGAGGATTTTCCTTCTGCCTTAAGAGACCACACAATGTAAGAAAAAGAACATACACGCCCAGGACGATGTTCATTAGGAAATTAAAGTGTAGCACAGAATACTAATGACGTCAGGGTGACTAATTTGCCATGTTTGTCTGAAATTTGCCGTTTTTGTTATTTTCATGACAAAAGTCAGAGAAACTTGACATTTCAATGACAAAAAGACAAACAAAATTGAGGAATTTGTTTGTCTGAGTTTGAGGTCTATAAATAATACCTGTACGCAGCCCTATTGCGAATGGAGAGAAGATATTTTTTTAAACAAAAGTAAAGTAATGATACCTGTCGCCTTTTGTTTCTGAGCCACTGAAGAAGATCTCCGTTTGGAACATATTCCATGATTAACATAATGGTAGGTGATTGGATCCAGTACCCGAGCATGCTCACAATATTACGGTGTGTCCCGACTTCCTTCATCAGCTCAATTTCCCGAACTAACTGCCGTTTGTCCTCCTCCGTGGCATTTTCTAAAAAAACAAAAGACATTTAAAGAAAAATCCAGGTAACTGTGACCTACGTATAGGCTACACGATATCAGTTAGTATTAAACAACTAAAACCAGATGTAAAGAAAAAAAGAACTAATTAAAATGAAAGCATATTTAACCTATGAAAATAAAACACAGTCAATAGCTCAGATCCTAATTTCTGCTTGAGAAAAAAAAATCTATTTGTTAAAAAAAATGGTTCCCTAAGTTAAGTGACGTAGATAAAACAAAGTCTCAAAGAAAAACCGTTAGCTCTCTTCATCTAGCGATCACCAAGCACGACATGTAACATGATGTAATACTGGATGATCTTTTAGTCCAGAAACTTGTCTTTTTAATTCTAGATGCCACGTTTTGTGTAATTAATTGCTTCCCTATTCTCGACCCACAGGCACTTCATCTCCAGTCATATGACTTTCCTTGAGGACATGGAGGTTTACCGTATCGCGGTCTTGAGCTTTTTTTCAAGCGGTGTTTCGGTAATTTTGATTTTAATGTCCGGTATTGCGGTATCATCCAGCCCTGGGGTATGTGGTTTTTCATCCTTCTGGCTAACGGTACTCGGTAAAAGAATATCCTTCCTGGTATTGCGGTACCGTTCATTTGGCTTCTCCTGTCTAATGTAGGTCAATATTTGGAAGACTTTAGACTTAACGGTAAATGAATACACAATTTCTGACGGTTACTCTATGATGAAATTAGTACGACATCCAATAACCTGGCTTTTCGATCGTTATACCGATCAATTCGCGATCTCACGTTTTCTCGCGACTGAGGTTGATTTCTGGTGTATACATGCTTGAGATAAAAAATACGCGAGATGGATACAACGTTAAGTAACAGTGACCGATCATAAATGCGGTATCGGTATATCGTCGATTTTCGGCACGGTATTTCAGTATTTGCCAATTTTTCTTACGGTATTACGGTATTGGGTACTCCCCAATGTCCCCCTCCTTGAGTATACACTTGTAATTCTGACGTATCTATCCAATTGTCTCATTTTCATTGACTCTGCATTGACAGGGATATCACCATTATGCTCTTGTAGTTGGCTTTCATCAAGTGTTTTCGGCTCACCGTCATCGTCCTCATTGTCATAATCATCATTATCATCATGAAGCTCTAAGGCGCTTTAGAATAAATGTTTTCAACTTAAACGACTAGAAAGCAGTAGCTCGTGACATTACAAAAAAGAAAAATTGTTAAACAAGACTAAGAAATAAAAATAACGCTTAGAAGTTTTTTTTAAAGCTTTAACAAATATTCAAACTCCATTTTACACTGTAAGTGCTCTGGAGAATCATTCTAAAGTTTAGGGCCACAAAACGAAAAAGCATGATCGTGCGATAAAATTTTAACCTTGATCTGGGTGTCACTAACAAGTTCATGGTTAATGATCGTAGACTCCTGAGAGCTTGTAAGTTTGAAACAAATGACGATTATAGGTCGGACTTGAATAATTTAAAATCCACCACTCATGCTCCAGGGGAAGCCAATGTAATTCTTTAGGTAAAGCAGTAATGTGGTCATATTTACAACCACACACGATCAGAGAAAGTCCTCAACTGACCTAAAACCTGTGAATAACGTATTTCGGAAGACCACAGAAGAGAATCCGAACGACCAATCTACACATTACGAAGGGATGCACTAACATTTTGGTTTAATAATTGGATATCGTGTCACAGCCCTGAGAAGTAATTATGTGGACTGCACTGTTTTGCAATTTTTTACTACAATACCCGTATATTCAGGTTAACCCATTCAGCGTCATAGTAGCGAAAGATAGGCTAGATTAAAGCGCTATATACTTTTCAATACATTTAATGACACATAATCTTGAGTCTGCCTAAGACCACTTATAACCTTGGAGCACACCTTATTAATGTGCTGATCCCACTAAAGGTTTTTATGTCTACATTGATATATTCATTACAAAACGTCTATCCGACAATCGATTTAGCGGAGGCCCGCGGCGACACTTAAGTATTATAAGCGTGCAAGCAGTCAGGGAGGTCATTATATACATAGGAAAAAAAAGGACCTAAAATGGACCCCTAAGGTACATCGCCCTGTTACTGATTGGGGTATTGAGATGCTGTTTTCCACAATATAATATTTGCTGCCTATCGGATTAAATAATTCAAACCTGTTAAGAGTCACTCCCGTAAATCAGTTTAGCATTGACACGTCTGTTGAAAGAGTAAGTCATCTTTTTGTCATATTCTGAATTCACGCACCTTGTAGAACTTTTGTAGCAACAATACGTCCCTCATGCGAATCCAAACTGTGATCCTTGGGTTTGGAGGATGTCATCTTTTCAGGTAGCCTCCTCATCACGCTCTTATAAACTCTTCCAAAAGCACCTCGTCCCAGTAACTCCATGGTAGTAACCCATTCGGGTGGGACTTCCAGCAACATCAGCTCAGTTATGTCAGACTCACTGGATCAAAGTGCAAATTAAATATAAATGAAATTTCTCGTCATTAATCATGGGCTTGTGGTAATGCTTAAATCAGCGACGGCTTCCTAGTTGATACAATTTGGTCAAGAGTTACACTGCCTTGGCCTGTAAGAAAGGTCACTTGTGGCTTGGGAGTGAGTACGACACCAGACAGACATGCCCAGACACTTACATAAAAACAATATCGCCTATTTCCGCATGTATGTTTTTATCATGGAACAATTCAGCAACAAAGCATAATATTCTAAATTTGAGTGATATTAACATTTGAATGAAATACCGTTTATTCCTCTTTGCTCTGTTACGGTAGACAATTATCCCCACCACCACAGCAGAAAGAGCCACGGAAACTCCCAACATTACCCAGGCAATCTTTGCAGTATCATTTTTAGCGATAGGGGAGCCTCCTGTCGCTGAGGGATACAAGCGATAATAAATGTTAAGAACTGTAACAGTTATACACATTGAAAAAGTAGCTTTAATGATTACGTAGCACCCGGGGCGCTTATTTAAGAGATGGGAGCTCTTCTTTGAAAGGGGTAGCTTCGTTTATCAGAATTTGAAAGCCTGAAAAATGACATGGTATATGACAATGAACCCTTGGCTGTTGAAAAATGGTTAAAAAAGTACGAAGAAGAAGTTGAAGAAAATAATAAGCTACCGCGAGAACTAAGGGAAACACTTGACGGGTCAGTTCAAGTAGATTCTTGGTGAGTGCCGGCAAATCATTTCGTACGATCCTGTGAAGAAGTAAGCTTATGTACATCGACTAGTTGCTAGTTTTACGGCATGATTGCTATGATGTATGTTAGCATTCGCATTAAAAAGCGGTATTTTTGGATGATTCTAGTTACCCTGAATGTACCGTACGTATATAAGTATTAGGAGCGGTGGGGTTAGGGCGCCCTGTTTAGGATTCGTTAGATTAACCTTGTTGTGAAATACAAATATATCAATTCGCGAGTAATCTTTCTTTTTTTACTCCTTTTTATTGTTTTCAATAATTACAATTACAAGAATTATGGCAGACGTTATCGGTTAAGCCAAAACACCCAACGGATCTGTTCCTCACAATATCTGTTCTACAGAGAAAATTTTGCTGGTTGGGAGCTGAGGTTTCGGCTGTTCTCCTGGGAAGATGAGTCTTAAATCTGCGGTCAAGAATTTATCAAATGTATCAAAAATTCTTGCTGGAGATATTTTATCCCTCTAATTTGCTAGAAACTATTCTTGGGTGTATACCCAGCTGGGTATCAGGAGTAATCGGCTCCTCCCAGGTGGCTCCTCTTTGTGCGCGAATTGTGCGCGCCGAGTCGGGCGCTGATGATTTATTGGTAAGTACCTGGTGTAGGCATCATATAGTGGTTTGACGTTAGTTACTAGAAGCAATGTATATAGACCTACATAATCCTACATAGCCCTTTATAGCCATACATAGCCCTACATAGCCATACATAGCGCTACACAGCCATACATAGCCCAACATAGCCCTAGGCTATGTATGGCTGTGTAGGGCTATGTATGGTTATGTATGGCTATGTGTAGATAGTAAATACGACCTGATCTTAGCCTTAAATTGTTTTAAAGAAGTCTCTTCCTTTAAACTGGAAGGAAGAGAATTCCAGGGCTTAGCGCCTGCAGAAGCAAAACTGTTCCTAAAATAGTTTGTTCTTGCTTTTGGCACTATTAGATTCATTCCAGAAGAGCGAAGGTCATAACTGAGCCGGCTTGTATTAACGTCAAACATGTCAGACAAATAAGAGGGACAGAGGCCATGATTTACTTTAAACATCATTAACGCCATATGATGTTGTCTCATTTCACTAAGTGAGAGCCACCCAAGTTTATGCCGAATATTAGCTGAATGTTTCGAGTATGAAGCACCAGTCCTGTAATAACACGAGCGGCCCTATTTTGCAACTTTTGAAGACTGTCTACCAACGTTTCGCCAATACTATTCCAAACAATACAACAATAAGTAAAATAAGGCTCAACTAATGACCTGTATACGTTTATGAGGTGCGCCAAACCAACAAAAAGGCCCAGTGCTCTTCAGAATTCTAATGCCACACCCCACCTTTTGTCTGACACTTTGTAAATGATTTCTCCAAGAAAAAAATTGGGCAATAGTGAGGCCAAGACACTTTGTAGTTTCGACCGGTTGTAACGTTAAACCATTCACACTTAATGAAATATTTCCAGATAATGTTGCAATTCTCTGCCGAGAACCTATCACCATAAAATCTGTTTTTAGAATATTCAATGTGAGTTTATTTGAGCTGAGCCAATTAAAAATTCTATTAAGGTCGTTGCTCATTTCAGTCTGAAGGATTGATAAATCCACGGCAGAGAACGTTAAATTTGTATCATCAGCAAATGACCTTCCTATACTATGCGTTAAGCAATTTGGTAAGTCATTAATGTAAATAAGAAACAAGAGTGGGCCTCATAAAGAACCTTGTGGAACGCCACATACGTTATGATTTTTTACAGACGACAATTCGTTTACTACGCAAAATTGCTGTCTGCCTTTTAGGTAAGACTTGAATTAAGAGCAGTTTGACCCTGCACCCCATAGTCAGACAGTTTTTTCAACAAGATAGCATGGTCAACAGTGTAAAATGCCTTCTTAAGGTGGCTCGACTGGATTTTTGGGGGGAGATACCTTCCAAGTTTGAGCATTAACTACGTCGCCATGAGTAAAGATATGGGAAAAAGATTACCACAACTGTATTATATAAAGATGAAAATTTCTTATGATCTGGGTTTTATTGCAATCGGAGTCGCCATAGCAACGTAACGACGCCATTACGTTTTTTATTTATCTTTGTGTTTCTCTGTACCAAGAGTTTTTTTTAAGAAACCGCTTAAGGGAGTTTGTACCTACCATAATTGCCTCAATTATGGCAAAGTTTGAACAAATTCTATGAGAGCGTTTTCGAGATATTTTGAAACGAAGTTTTAAGCATCATAAAAACAGTGAAATAGCATGCTATCCATACAATTAGCTAAATTTTTAAGAAAATGATAAGCTTGGGAAACGCGGCTTCATCTCATAGTGGTTTGATTCCGTTGAAAACTGCGTACGAAAAAAGAGGAGAATTGCTCCTGGCGATCGCGAGTACGAAGAATTTTAGTAACTTGCATTCAGCTGCTTTTGTTACAGTTTTTGCACGTAATTTGGTCCATGCCTACAATTTTCGCAGTTTTCAAAAAACTGCTCGATAAATTTTTTTAGAAATTTGACAATCCTTGGAGCGGGTTGTTAAACTGGTTCGTAATAGGCAGGCGGCAAAACGTAAGAGGGACCCTTTACGGAAAAAGTGTCGTAATAGACCTTTTTTACCGATACGGCGGCCATATTGAATTAATTCGATCGTCCGATCGTCCCACATGGCGTCACAGATGTTCGCATATGACCTCAATCGCCTGAACACATGTTGAGATGCCTCGGGCGCTCAAGACAATCCGTACGATTATTTCTCAAACTCATTAATAATTCATTTGAGAAGTAATCTCAAGCATTCGACGCAGTGTTTCATCACCAGATTAAACACCTCGAGGTTCGTGAAAAATACTCCGCTGCGCGTCGTATTTTCAACTCTCCTCGCAGTGTTTCATCTGGTAATGAAACACTGCGTCGAATGCTTGATATACTACTTGAAAACCTGGCTGTATGGCACAAATTATAACAGGAGCAAAGGCGAGCACGCTTTCTTAAAGGTTACAAATAATGTAAGGGTTATGTTTTGTACACAAAGGCATGCATGTACGATGCATTGACTCCTAATACAAACCACTGAAAGTTTCACAAAGAAAAATCCTTTTCTAAATAGTACTATTAAAAATTTATGCCGAAGGGGTCTCATTTGAATGGTAAAGGACTTCGCTGGACGATGAAAAAGTTAGAAAGACAAACGATCCCATTATAACTGAGTCTACAAATCCAACAACCGGGGTTTTCACCTCCTGGTAGGTCTAACCATGCTACATTGGTGGAGGGTGAAAGGGCAGACTGAGGAGGGCTTCTGACCCTTTAGGTTAGGGGTTTAAATTAGGGTACGGAAACGAAGGGTCGCCCATCCGGTCAGATTAAAGGTGAAGGACGTCGCATTACGGTTTATGACATTTTGAATGATATCAAACACGTTGCGCTCGTACGAAGATTCCTGCTCAATAATAAACTGCGTGCTGGAAGCATTGTTAGCTGCTCCAGTAACCCAGGAAAGCGTTGTAGTGCGTTTAAAGCAATTTGTTATGGTAAGATTTGTTGGCGGATTAGGAACACCTACAAAAATCAGATTCAAACGAAAATAAAAAATCTTGGTTAGTGTCATATAAGTTTCTTTTTTCTACTACGGAAACTATGAAAATTATATATCTTCCATGATGAACGAGGGAAGTATTGACTTTACAAAGTTCCATTAAAACAAAAATCTAACTTGTAACAAAAACATTGAAAATCAAAACAACAAAAACACAAAAACTGTAAAGAAGGTAAACTTTCCACACACTTCAATAGTTTTTACACTAGATCCTAATAGTAATAAAAATAATGATGATGATCAGATGATGATGATCAGGAGAAGGAGGATGACGATTGCGATAATGGGCAGTTTACGCAAAAATTCCCCAAGCTGTCGACGCAAAGATTTCTAGGATCATTTGGGTGCATAATATTAGCAATGATTGGATAATTATATGGTTCCTTTGAACACGACAAACCAATCTGAACTACCAAATGTTCCCAGACATTACTTCGCTGAAAACTGGAGACCTGTCGCCACTCTCTAAACTACAAAAAGACACTGAAGGTAGAAGCGCCAATATACCGAAAGCTTTTCTGTTCTTCCTAAAGACCCTCAGAGTAAAGGTATACACTAAAAGAGTACCTGAGATATCAATAGTAGCAGATGCGTGGTCTTCAGATCGTTTTGGATCAGGAGTATAGGCCACACAAGTATAATTACCAGCATCATCAACTGTAATGCTAGCAATTGTCAGAACATTAGGTCCTTCAAGCCACTCAATTTTGTTGTTGTACGTTATGACAGCATTATCCCTTTTCCAATAGTATCTCAACTCAAGAGACGGGTCTGCTGTTGCGTCGCATCTCAAATCAACGCGTGTTCCTTCGTCAACTTGTTTATTTTCTGGTCTCACGGTAATTATAGTTCTCTCTGAAAGAAAAAAATAATAAACACTTTATGAGTGGAGCCGAGAACAACAGAATCTCAATGTTTCCCTAGGCTCCGCCTCGGGAAACACCGAGATTCTCGGCAACAAAATTAACTGTTTCCCGAGGGACCAATGATTTGTTATATTGCTGGAAATTTCGAAGCTGGAATTCATTAAACCTC